TTTTCGATCCTGAGCACGCCGGCATAAAGGACGAGACCGGCTTCATAAATCTGCGCATGTACTTTCCCGTCTACTCGGTCCGGGTCCTCGAGGACCTCCTCAACCGGTACGTGTACGCCAACGATGGCGACATATTCATGCGACGACGCTACTACGTGCAACCCTGCTACATCAACGAGATGCAGGTGCCCGTCAAACAGGATCGTTCCGTCCTCGACTCGCCGGAAGACGTCATGACCACCTTCTTCAAGATTAGCGATTTAGCGACCGACGACGACGTGGTAGTGTCGGACGGCGTGCAGTACGTGGCATCGAGTGATTCTTACGACGCCTACGTCCTGAGCGACCAGAGCGTCGAGTACTTGTACAGCGGAATAGGCAACGACCGCGGTGACGACGCCGAGTCTGCCGCGCGCTTCGTGGAGCTCCTCAAAAACCGGCTTGGCGTACACCCGCAGTGGAGCACCTGTTTTCTCCTCTGGTGGTCGGCCATGAGCCACCGTTGCAACGGCCCGATCCTGACCGACAGGACGCACGTTGTGGACCTGTACGACGCGGTTGAAGAGAGCACATACATGTACAGACTCGCCTTCTACAACGGTTCGGGTCTGACGCTCTGCCACCCCAACCTCCACAAGGACTTTTTGTGCGCCGTCGTAAATTCCGTCTCCTTTCTACGGGTGCAGGAAAATCTGACCGCACTGTGGAGTTACTCCAGGGGCTGCGTCATCTCGGGCGCCGAGTTTTTCGAAAGGGTCTTTGCGCTATTGCGGATCTGGTTGTTCAATTCCTTCGGTACGGATTTTTACGAGATTATGGAAGAAGTTAGAATTGCGACCAAATAAAAAACTTTTTTTTTTACAATTTGTGTGTATGCATATACTCGCGCCGACAATGGAGGACCAACAAGACGACCAGGAAGAGGTCCACGAAACGGCCATGAAGTATTCGATGGTCTGCATAGCATTCCGATTGTCGATCCTCTACAATAAGTACTACTCGGCCGTCTACGATAGCTTTTTCGAGTTTGCCTCTGCGGTGCACGTCTCGCCAAAGAACGAGGCCGTCTTTACTGGCGTGGTGCTACCTCTATGTAAATATCTTTTTGAGACGCAGACTTCGCGGACGACGGGCATTCGCGTCGCCGTCGTAAAGTACTTGCGCTTCCCGGACGCGTCTCTCTTTCCGATGACCGTGGCGATGCCTGCGCTCGTGTCGAGGGACGGGATGCGCGCTCTGATTTACCTCGAGGACGAAATGCCGTTTGCGATCCTCAAGGCCCTCGAATTTGCCTACTCCATAAAGGTCACCACGTCCGAGCGAATCTCGGCGGTGGACGGCGACACCGCGAAAGATAAGGAGCGCGTCGTCATGGACCCAGACTTTTACGTCCACCTGCCTACCGACGACCGCGTCGTGCGATACCTGAATCACGGCGCAAGTTACCGGGACTACGCAAACATGGCCCCCTTCGTATACTGGACTTGCATCAACCTAAAGCGCTGCATGTATCTCGTTCAATTTTCCCGTCTCTCCCACTCAATCGAGGACCGAGAGGTCTTTATTCATCTTCACGCCATCGAGCGCTGCCTTTACGAGCTACCTCTTTACAAGACCTGTGAGCTGCTCTACGAAGCGGACGCCGTTCCTCTATTGGCCTTTGGCAAGAGAGATTCGGCGGTCGAGAAGTTGCTACAACCGTTGCTCGTCATGTCGCGCATCGACGAGGGTGGGGAAACGGTTACTCCGAACCAAGTCAACCAAATGACCATTGATTTCATAGACTCTACGCTAGTGAGGTACCTGGCGGGTTGGAAGGCGCTAAGCGATTCTTATCCCGTCTTTGACGAGTTTGAGCAAAAGTACGTGGCTACTGGCGTTCACAACCACTACAGCGTCCTATGTGCAAACGTCAACCCGCCCTTGGCGTCGAAAGATTCGTCGCCACCACGTCAACTATACGAGATGGCTGGTGGATCGTCGAGCATGGACACGCTCGTGGAGGAAGCCATCAAGATTCAGGAAGGAAGGCGGCGTCGCAACCACAAGGTCTTGAGAGCCGGCGACTTCCCCCGAATGCTACTTTCAAATCAACGAGAAGAGATGGTTTTGGAATCGAAATAAATTTATTGCCCTTTCAAACTCTCTACAGAAGAGTGTACTATCGCTTCGTGAATAAACTGCAAATAAACGGTCTTGCCTTCGTACTTTCTTGAAAATTGGGCAATGTAATGAAGTGCCCAGAGATCCGTCCTGATAGTGTCTTGCGTCTTGACGTATAAATTGCAAATTTTAACGTCGGGATGGCCCGTAATCAATGCGCCGGGAGAATACCCAAAGTCAAAAACGGTCAGCGATTGAGGCGTCTTTATCATGAAATTTACTATGCCGTCGTATGAAAATGCATTGTATGATCCGACCGAATGAAGAACGTAGTCTCTGTTGTATATGTTTTCGTTGGTTATTCTCAGGTAACGTAGCTGCTCGAGAGTTGCCAGATGCTGCAGGCTCGACGCCCGGATGCGACAACACTCTTCGAACATGACGCTGACCAGTCTCTTCATGTTCTTCACCATGATGGCTACCGCGCGATCGGTCATTTCTACGGATCCAGTAATTTGAAGATGCGTAACGTTGTCCAATCCGCGACAATGAACGATGCTCATGATGGCACTATAGTTTGTATTTCTCGATTCGAGTCGGAGGACGCTGTCGGGTACCTCGTCCACGTCGAAGGCGCTCTCGACGCGCACTCCGGTAACGCGTCGCCGCCGCATGAGGTGCGAGTCGGTAGCCGGGAGGGGTACCACGCCGGTAGTCCACATGCGGGGAGATAGTAGGATGTCCAACCAGATAGAGCACACCCTGGCCGCCGAACGTTTACTTTCGGCATCCAAGTGCTGTAGAATCATGTACCATACCTCGTACGGTAGATGCATGGTGTGTTGGACAATGGTGTGTCATTATTTATATATACGAATGATGACGTAGGCAATATTACATAATTTAAACACCCTCCGATCATTTTCATTTCTATAGCGTCGTCGTCGTCGAGCGTGTTGTCATTCCTACCGAGTGCCTTTATTACAGGCGTGGCCCTATCGCGTCTCAAGGTTTCGTGTTCTCGGAAATACGATAGCATAGCGTAAAGTCCTTGGACTAATAAGTTATCGAGTAGGAGCGTTTTTTTTTTCGATAGATAAGTTAAGGGTATAACAACTAATAAACTGCTTCTCGATATCCCTACCAAGTCATTATATAAAGTCCACGCCGAGCGAGTCGCATCAGAACGAGAGGCCGGCCGCCAGTAGCGAGTCCACTCCGAGCGAAGCGCCCTACAGTCTCATGTCCTACCAACGCAGACGACCCACGCCGAGGGAGTCGCATCGGTACGAGAAGCCGCCCCACGAAGGACGCGAAATACTGGTACCTTCGTTGACAATTGAGCGCCGCACATCATCCCACAACGTTGGCAGACGACCCACGCCGAGCGAGTCGCATCGGTACGAGAAGCCGCCCCACGAAGGACGCGTAGCACTGCTGCCTTCGTTGATAGCTGATCGCCGCACATCATCCCACAACGTTGGCAGACGACCCACGCCGAGCGAGTCGCATCGGTACGAGAAGCCGCCCCACGAAGGACGCGAAATACTGGTACCTTCGTTGACTATTGAGCGCCGCACATCATCCCACAACGTTGGCAGACGACCCACGCCGAGAGAGTCGCATCGGTACGAGAAGCCGCCCCACGAAGGACGCGTAGCACTGCTGCCTTCGTTGATAGCTGATCGCCGCACATCATCCCACGACGTTGCCGATTGGTCCGAGAATTCGCTACGAGTTTCGTGGGTCAAAGAAAACGGCGACTCCGATTTTTTGACGCAACCGACTGGCGAAACTACCGCGATCAATGGAGTAACTCAAGAATTGACGGAATCGCCGTACTAACCCCGGTATGCATACATTTCACGTAATTGCCAATCGAGCGCCGTAGACGTCGAACTACGTCGACGTATATTTCTGTTACGATGTAAATGTAGACCTTTTGCATCGAGGACATACCATGTTTGACGAGAACTGAAAGTGTAGAGAGGTGACAGTAGTATACCCCATAGACATACATAGCCTGTATTTCTTGAAAAGAAATAAACGGCCTTTGACCCACCACCTCCACTCTTTCAGCCGCCTCTTATCCCATTAGGCATGAAGTCCTAAAGGGTTCCTTTCCACCTGTTCTTAAACAAATGTCATTACGAAAGGCAGATCAATACACGTTTTATTTCGTATACGACTCCTACGTCGTGACTTTTTTAAAAGGGCGCCTTCGTCTGCCTTTTTCGAAAGGCAGCCTTCTGAAGTCTTTAGCTAAGGCGGGGGGTAAAATTTCCTTTTTAAAGGTAAAAATGCATAAAGCTCCATTCAACTCATAATGATGGGGGCGCGGAAGAAGGCCTTTCGAAAAGGCAGACGCGTGCGCAGAATAATTATTGCTTTACACTAAGTCTTATATCGAGGTTAATACACGATACTTTAAACGCTCTAGAAACGGGCGGATTCGTCTGCCTTTTCGAAAGGCAGCCTTCTGAAGGCTTTAGCTAATGAATGATGACGTAGGTAGTATAACATAATTTAAAGACCCTCCGATAATTTTCATTTCTATAGCGTCGTCGTCGTCGAGCGTGTTATCATTCCTACCGAGTGCCTTTATTACAAGCGCGGCCCTATTGCGTCTCAAGGTTTCGTGTTCTCGGAAATACGATAGCATAGCGTAAAGTTCTTGGACTAATAAGTTATCGAGTAGGAGCGGTTTTTTTCAATAGATAAGTTAACGGTAGCACAACTAATAAACTGCTTCTCGATATTCCTGCTAAGTCATTATATAGAAATAAAAGGATGGTGTAGGTTCTATGACCTACCTCGAGCGCGTCTGAGTATTTTTCAAATTCCGATCGTATCTTTTTTTCGCACCGAGACAATATCCTGACGCAAGACTTCGAACGATGGAGTCTGACACGCAGACAGATAGCGAAGGATCTTCGCCACCGTCCACGCCCTACAAACGCAGATGTCCGATGCAGTCAGGTTCCACGCCGAGCGAGTCGCATCGGCACGAGAAGCCGGCCGCCAGTAGGGAGTCCACTTCGAGGGAACCGCCGTACAGTCTCACGCCCTACCAACGCATAAGACCCACGCCGAGCGAGTCGCATACGCACGAGAAGCCGACCGCCAGTAGCGAGTCCACTCCGAGCGAGTCGCATAGGCACGAGAAGCCGACCGCCAGTAGCGAGTCCACTTCGAGGGAACCGCCGTACAGTCTCACGCCCTACCAACGCATAAGACCCACTCCGAGCGAGTCGCATAGGCACGAGAAGCCGGCCGCCAGTAGGGAGTCCACTTCGAGGGAACCGCCCTACAGTCTCACGCCCTACCAACGCATAAGACCCACTCCGAGCGAGTCGCATAGGCACGAGAAGCCGACCGCCAGTAGCGAGTCCACTCTGAGCGAGTCGCATAGGCACGAGAAGCCGGCCGCCAGTAAGGAGTCCACTCCGAGGGAACCGCCCTACAGTCTCACGCCCTACCAACGCATAAGACCCACTCCGAGCGAGTCGCATAGGCACGAGAAGCCGGCCGCCAGTAGCGAGTCCACTCCGAGGGAACCGTCATGCAGTCTCACGCCCTATCAACGCAGAAGACCCACGCCGAGCGAGTCGCATAGGCACGAGAAGCCGGCCGCCAGTAGCGAGTCCACTCCGAGGGAACCGTCATGCAGTCTCACGCCCTATCAACGCAGAAGACCCACGCCGAGCGAGTCGCATCGGCACGAGAAGCCGGCCGCCAGTAGCGAGTCCACTCCGAGCGAACCGCCCTACAGTTTTACACCGTATCAACGTATACGTTCCACTGACCACCACGAATCTAGTCCTTCGTCGGACGACGAAGTAATATCTCTACTCGCGCATATACCCGGGGCAATCACTCCGTCTCTCGTCACCGCGGGGTCGGAACCTTACGAAGTATATTATGCGAGTCGCGAAGGATGCGCACCACACGTGCTTATGATGAAACTTGAACACGGCACCTCATCCCACAACGTTCCCGATTGGTCCGAGAATTCGCTACGAATTTCGTGGGCCGGAAGAAACGGCGCCTCCGCTTTTTTGACGCATTTAATGATGCATCCGAGTGCGAAGGAACTCTGTATTCAACCGACTGGCGAAACTGACGTGATCGATGCATTACGTGTAGAATTGACGCAATTGCCGTCCTTACCCCGGCTCGAGACGTTAAAAATGGCCGGATGTTATATGATCGGAGATGTGGACGCTTCCAAAATACTCGCTTCTTATCCAAATCTGACCTTTGTGGACCTATCGTCTTGTATGCCGGTGGGGGACGTTGCCGTCATGAACGTTCCCAAAACTGCGCAGACCGTGCTACTAGCAAACTGTGAGAATGTCACCGATAACGGTCTTGACCTTTTGGCTGCTAACGCCGGAGAAATTCTCGTACACGCGGACCTTTCGGGACTAGTTAAAATAACGGACAGAGGCGTGCGCGGTTTCTTAGCCAAATGTGTAAAGTTAGAGACAATAAAGTTGTCCGGATGCTACCAACTCCGTATGGACATATTTGACGTGATTGCCAATCGAGCGCCGCAGATGTTGAAGTACGTCGACGTATCTTTCTGTTACGATGTAAATGTAGACCTTTTGCATCGAGGACATACTATGTTTGACGAGAAGCGAAACTGTAGACACGTGGTAGTAGTATGCCCCTATAGGCATACGCACCCGGTATTTTGTGAAAGGAAATAAAAGGCTTTTGACCCACCACCTCCACTCTTTCAGCCACCTCTTAGCCCATTAGGCAGGACGTCCTAAAGGGTTCCTTTCCGTAGTATAAGCGTAGACATCATCGCTATTGAATGTATGCTTGGGTGAATAACCTTCATAGAGAGCTCTCAACTCGGTCTTTGGTGGTCCATCAGGCTACGGCAAACTTCACCACAGGGGCGGGGGCTTCCAGAGTGCCTGTAAAAAATGGAGACTTTGAAACGTCTCAAAAACTATTTGACCTGAACTGCTCCATGCCGATCCAATTGATCGTCCCTCCGCCACCACACTTACAGCCACCTCTTTATTACATAACGTACCTGTACACGAAAGAGACCTGTTCTAAACAAAATGTAGGTTAATACACGATACTGTAAACGCTCTGGATACGGGCGCATTCGTCTGCCTTTTCGAAAGGCAGCCTTCTTCGTGCGCAGCATAATTATTGCTTTACACTAAGTCATATCGATAATACACGATACTGTAAACGCTCTGGAAACGGGCGCATTCGTCTGCCTTTTCGAAAGGCAGACTTCTGCGTGAGCAGCATAATTATTGCTTTACACTAAGTCTTATATCGAGGTTAATACACGATACTTTAAACGCTTTGGAAACGGGCGCATTCGTCTGCCTTTTCGAAAGGCAGCCTTCTGCGTGAGTAGCATAATTATTGCTTTACACTAAGTCATATCGATAATACACGATACTTTAAACGCTCTGGAAACGGGCGCATTCGTCTGCCTTTTCGAAAGGCAGACTTCTGCGTGAGCAGCATAATTATTGCTTTACACTAAGTCATATCGATAATACACGATACTTTAAACGCTCTGGAAACGGGCGCATTCGTCTGCCTTTTCGAAAGGCAGCCTTGTGCGTGAGCAGCATAATTATTGCTTTACACTAAGTCATATCGATAATACACGATACTTTAAACGCTCTGGAAACGGGCGCATTCGTCTGCCTTTTCGAAAGGCAACCTTGTGCGTGAGCAGTATAATTATTGCTTTACACTAAGTATCGAGGTTAATACACGATACTTTAAACGCTCTGGAAACGGGCGCATTCGTCTGCCTTTTCGAAAGGCAACCTTGTGCGTGAGCAGTATAATTATTGCTTTACACTAAGTATCGAGGTTAATACACGATACTTTAAACGCTCTGGAAACGGGCGCATTCGTCTGCCTTTTCGAAAGGCAGCCTTCTGAAGGCTTTAACTATGGCGGGGGTAAAACTTCCGCTTTAAAGGTAAAAATGCATAAAGTTCTTTCCAGCTCGTAACGATGGGCGCGCGGAAGAACGCCTTTCGAAAAGGCAGACGCGTGCGCAACATAATTTTTGCTTTACACTAAGTCTTATATCGAGGTTAATACAGGATACTTTAAACTCTCTGGAAACGGGCGCATTCGTCTGCCTTTTCGAAAGGCAGCCTTCTGAAGGCTTTAGCTAAGGCGGGGGTAAAACTTCCGCTTTAAAGGTAAAAATGCATAAAGACGTTAGCAGACGTTAGTGTAAAGTCTCCGTAAAAAGGGCGCATTCGTCTGCCTCTTCGAAAGGTAGTGCGTTGTATAAAGGAGATTCGTTCTAAATGTAAAATTTTTGAAAAGACAAACGCATACGCTAGTGTTTGGCAATCACTCAAAGAGACATATTGGATGTGCCATCGAAGGTTTTATTTTTGACCTTTGAAAAATGGTAATCGAACTTTGTTCTTTAACGTGTATACCACGTTGGTCATGACAGCACCCAAGCTCATGGCTGTCCCACCGTATCAAACTGTCGTAATTGCACTCGTATCAAACTGTCGTAATTGCACTCGTATCAAACTGTAGCAAACTGTCGTAAGCACTCGTATCAAACTGTCGTAATTGGTAGATGTGCCGTTCTTTAAGGAAACTAAATCGTCCACCCACTTTTCCGACGCATCATCGTTCTCGAGTTGAACGTACGGTACGTTCAACTGGTCGAGGCGTTTCTTCTCTTCGTCCGTGAGCCGAATGTCGGGAGCGATTTTAAAGAGCGTTGGGGTAACGACGACCACGTCGTCGTCAGTCGCGTCGTTAAGATTCTCCTTCGCGCGGTCGCTGCCGTCTTCCCCGAGGACCATGCAGCGGCGGCAATGTCCCAACGCCTCCTCGACGTCAAGGTAGCTCCTGTCTTCGCCAAAAATGTTGTACGCCAGGAGTCGCATCACGTGCGAACTCTCGTTTAGACGACTGATGGTATTTTCACAAGCCGGAAGAGAGTCGGATGCGGACCACTCAGTGGCAAACTTTAATCAGCTGACGGCAGACGAGGGTATACCGCCGTCCCCAAAAAAATCGGTACAAAGCGTCAAAAGTCTGGAGTAGCCAATATCTCTGTCGTTCGACTCGTAATAAATATGATCTAGTACGGGTTGGTAAATCGCGTAGAGAGACAAGTTGTTGGCCACGTCTATCGCACACGAAGCGTCGTGTAAAGTCATGTCGTTAACCGACTTACGTCTAACGACCTTACCAATTACGGCATGGAGTTCCGACACGACCTTGCGGACGGCGGCGTCCTTTACGGCGCCGCAGCGAATCTCGTCGTGCACCGTCCGCTCCTTGAACGTCCGGACTCTGTCGACGTTAAAGTAGGCTTGTTGGTGCTGCGACTGGTTGGCGTATGCCGCCGTGCACTCGTCCAATTCGGACTGCAGTCTCCCGTTTACGAAATAAACCTTGTTGTATATTTCGGTCAGCGCGTCAAACTTGAGCCTCAGATCGGCCTCGCGACGTAGGCTTTCGTCGCCTACGTCCATGTAGTCGTGTCGGTCCACCCGTTCGTAACACATCGCCATCATCTTTTCCAGGTTTCGCACGCGGAGTCCCGCTGTCTCGACGTCCATCGTCTTGTGGCGTAGTTCCAAAATCTTTTGGTCGCGCGCAAAGTGCAGTCTTTCGTTTTCTTCGCGGCATCTCTCCAGAGTCTCGTAACACTTTGCCGCGTTCGTCGCGTTGGCAATGCTGTAGGTCACGTAGTCGCGAAACAGGTCTCTCTTTTCGTTCACTAGAGTCTCGCAACGATGCATGTAGTCGCGTATCTGTGCGTTTGGCGAACATTGCCGCGAAATGGCGACGGCCTCAGCCCGCATCAGTGCGATCGTCGCCGCGCATTCGTCCCGCCTCGTCCGGGCTTCGTCCGCCTCTCGCAAGAGCCGAACGGCCGACGTCCAGTTGAGTCTAGTCTCATTTTCATAAAATCTCTCCAATAATCTCTCCCGTTCGACGAGAAGCAGATCGTCACGGTTTCTTTCGATTTCGCCCCACACGTCGTCCTTGAGCGATTCCCAGTTGGTTCGGAAGGACGCGGTGTAGTTTGTCCACGCATCGTTCATTTCCCTGGCGAGGTCCTCGACCGCCGCTGCGTCTCGCTCAAACAAAGTCTGAATTTTTAGCGACGCGCTGTTGTTTACTCCAGTGTTGGTAACGCGCGCATACGAGACTAGATCGGCCGTCATATTTGCGCTCGTCTCGTCCAGTAGCGCGTTCCAGCGAGCCCGTACGCGCATCAACTCTGCATTCAGTCGATCCACCGTCAACTTGAGCTTGGCCTCGTGGCCGTACCATATGTCGACGTCTGCATCGATGCCGCTTCCGCATTCTCGCTTGCGAGCGTCGTACAGGTAATCGGCCCACACCCGACACTCTCGCTCGTGTCTCAAGACTCTACCACGATTCAGATGGTCTTCATTGCCATCCCGATCGCACGTCGAATAGCGCAAAGAGTTTTTACCCGAAAAGTATCGTGTGCGCACGACATCGCAGGCCCCCGCCTCGTCGTACCAGAAACACGTTCGCATCTCGTCGGCTATAACTTCCAAAAGACGGGGCGCGTCTTGCGGAAAATGAACGATGGGTGACTGCGCGGCTACATAGGCGCGGTAACTATCGGCCGATTCTGCGCACACCACCGACACGTAGTCGCGCAATCTATCGAGCGTTTCCTCCAACCACGAGCACGAAAATTGCGCGTATTTTCCGCGCAAGAAATTGCACGGATAGTCCAACTGACCAATCATGGCCGCCGCCTCAAAAAACTTTTGCATTGTAACGTTGGCCTCAACAAACACCTCCGTAGGATGCAGTAACTCGCCGTTTTCGTCTATCACTATCATGTCGTTTTCGTACGCGACGCGTAGGTCGTACGCAGTCGCAGGTAATAGCGCGGAACAAACTATGAAGGCGGCGATTGCCATCACAGTAAAACGCTGCGTAATTTTATTTTTACAAAATGGAATCAGCGCGCAAACAACGAAGACACAAGGAAGAGAAATTGACAGGACAAGCGCTGGACTTCAACTGAACGTTTATTGAAAAAGAAACTAACGAGGAAAACAAACAAACCACCAAATCATCACCCCATCAAAACGTGCTCAAAAAAGCTACCTCTCTCTTAAGTAAAAAAATCGATGTTTGGCTGACGCATTGGTCACCTTCCTTTCCTATCTCAAATGCTTCGAGCAGCTCGCGTGCTGTCTTATCGGCCCCTCTTCCCAAAATCGAGATGCGATCAAATATCGGCTCGCACGAGCAAGTGCTGCAGTGTAAAGGCAAGTGACCGCCCGAGGTTGATCGCAGCGAAAGCGCGTGTTCACGTGCTCGGTCATTAACACATCGGCCAGTCTGGCCGATGTATACTCGACCACAACTTAACGGGATCCTATAAACTACCCCCATCGCGCACTCGACGTACTTGTTTCTGTGCTTTACGGAACATCTATTCCTTCCCGTTCCCCTGTCCGCCACTCTGGGGCATAGCTGCAGCATCTTGCAGGGCGCCGAAAAGACAACCGGTACATCATAGCGCCCCGCAATCTTTTTTAGATTGTGGGATACCTTGTGTAAATATGGGATTACTTGCGGTCTCCTATTTGGCCGGTCTCTTGGTTGTTGGGGTCCCGTCTTTACCTTTCTTAGTAGCTTTTCTGCTACCGCCAACAGAACTGTCGCTGGGAAGCCC